TATAGGTGTGTGGTGTGTGGTGTGTGTTGGGTGGTGTGTGATGCGTGGTGCGTGCGTGCTGGCGCTAGATCAAGGTATCTGGTGTGGGTGTATCTTTGTGTTGGTGCCATAGTCGTTGGGTATTCTGCGTCTTCATGAGTGGGTGCTGGGACCAAAGTCCATGGCGTGGGCTTATAGGAATGTTTTCTCTCGTAGGCGTTGTTGTGTATGTTTTGTATTCCGTATTTTCCAGGTCATTTCGAGAACCGTGCTCCAGTCACACATGGCTGATGCATGCGAGTGTGTGTCTACTTATGTCCTGTCCAATTAATGCTCCTTGGGTGTGTTGTGGGTGCATCGTGGGTATTTTTAGAACGAGGTCTCTGGCTTCGACTGTGGCGTTGCAGACAGACAATTCAGCCACAGCACATACAACAGTCTCTCGTGTGCATTCTTTTGGGTCCGATCCATGTATCGTCTCGCTTAATTACACACATCTCGTCACATCTCTCTGCGTCTTTGTATCCTACCTCACCATACCCAACACTAACACCACACCACCCCATCCCACAGACAATACATCGTCAACGCCAACCCCAAACCCGACGTGCGGTGGAAGATCTGGACCGCTTACCACGTTGCGCTGGGCCTTGCGTATTTGGGTGCAATGGGTGTGGTGCACAGAGATGTGGCAGCCCGAAATATTCTGCTGGCATCGCCCGAGGAGAACGCCGAGACGTCTGCGGGCCATGACGACGACGATGTGGTCACAGTAGTGTCTACGAACCCTCCCAAACGGCCGTTTCCTTTAGTAAAGGTAGGTATTGTGGCGTTTTGGACTGCGGCGTGGGCTGTGTGGGTGCGGATGGGATTGAGTTCTAGTGAAGTGTACGGCAGTTCTGCTGTTAGCGGAGGAGTGTGAACGCGTGTGGGTGTGATCGAATGGGGGTTGCATGTCCACACCCTGTGGTAAATACAGCAGATTATGTGGTAAATTCAGCAGATTATGTGGTAAATTCAGATCATGTGGTACATTCAGCAGATTATGTGGTAAATTCAGCAGATTTATGTGGTACATTCAGCAGATTATGTGGTACATTCAGCAGATTATGTGGTAAATTCAGCAGATTTATGTGGTAAATTCAGCAGATTATGCGGTACTTTCAGCAGATTACGTGGTAAATTCAGCAGATTTATGTGGTAAATTCAGCAGATTATGTGGTACATTCAGCAGATTATGTGGTACATTCAGCAGATTATGTGGTAAATTACACTCAGCGGGTGCTTCGCGGCTACCACGATACCACATCTTGCCGCCGGCTACTCCAGTGTAGTGTTTCATATCCATTTTGCGATGCAACTAGCGCACTCCAGTCTCTGAACTTCTTTTAACCGTGGCGCATAGAACATTCAGAGGTTCGATGGTGTTGTTTTTTAAACGTATTGCTCATCGTGGTACATCCAGATGGTCGCTGTTGTTTTGCACTCCTTGTCCATTGCACATGTACCTTCATCCAACGGCTGGATATTATCTTTTAACGTATTACGCACCGTGATACATTCAGGCGTTCGCTGTTGTTTATGAACCACCTTTCCATTGCATATCACATACGCGTTCATCATCAGGTGTCTGATATGGGGCTGGCCCGTGTCACAGGTGTAGATGCGTCCTATGTGAAAGAGGGCGATGCAATGCTGCCGTTGCGCTGGATGCCGCCCGAGTCCATCATCAACAACCTGTACACAGAAAAGAGTGATGTGTGGTCCTATGGTATCACCCTGTGGGAGATATTCACGGATGGCGCCATGCCGTACAGGTAGGTACACTATATCTGACCACGTCATGAAGTGCATGTGTATGACTACCTAGATTGTCATCCGAGTTTATTGGGAGTAAGGCCTATGTTAGTAGCGGATATAGCCGTAGAGTACAAGCGTGCGCTGTTGTATTTCATAGCGCAACGCCGACTGAACAGTCACCATTTACACAAGTGGTCCCCAAACAAACCGTAAATGGCATTGAACTGCAAACTCTCGCGGTACTCAATCCATCCAACGCATATACTACCGCTACGGACACAGGGAAATCAAAACGCACGAACTCATGACCATCCTGGAGGGCGGATTCCGGTTGCAAAAGCCGGCGTCTTGCCCACAGGCCGTGTATGAGATTATGCTCATGTGCTGGGAATGGGATGCGAGCAGTAGACCCACTTTCGCTGAGCTGGTGACCAAAGTGGAAGGGTTGATGCAGCACGAGGACTTGTTGCTGGTAGGTGTTAACTGGAGGGGTGTGGTGGTTTAAGCTTTCCGTGTAGTGTGGGTGGGGTTGGGTGGGTGCCGCAGGTGATGATGTGTGCTTGCAATGTTGCCTACGCTCGGTAGAGTGTTGTAGTGCGTCTTTGTATTGTATATACATACACACACACACACGCACACACACACACACGCACGCACACACACGCACACACACCCACACACATATAGGCGTTTACTTCCATTAGGCAATTCTTCAATATTGCACACACACGCACACACACACACGCACGCACACACACGCACACACACGCACACACATATAGGCGTTTACTTCCATTAGCAATTCTTCAATATTGCGCCTTGTACACGTTTCTCGCCCCATTGCCGCCGAGTGTAATCTGTAACTATATTTATATATTTA